GGTAAGTCACAAATGGGAAAACAACGCATAAAATAGTCTTTAATTAGCGACATCTGACGTTTCGGACCAAGCTTGGTTCGTCTTCAGAGTACAAAGAAGTACGTAGTGTCTTCCCACCTGTGACTTACCTAAAGATTTTATCACCTTCTGCATAAAGAAATCAAGTACGATGTTCAATTTAACGCCATATTAATATTATTATTAATTATTCATATTGATGTTTATTTATTCCACATTGGAGAAAAAATATGGCAACGGATCGGAAATAAATACTGCTAAACACACTGAGTCAAAGGTTAACAGCACTTCTGATCATTCTGACAGTCTGAGCTGTGTCTAAAACGACAACTTTCTGATACGGTTCAATTAGTCATCAAACGAATTACGATGTGGGACGTTAGTTTCATTATCACTGGCAACAGAGAATTTGTACAGATGACCAATGCTGTTACTCAAACTCCTGAGTTGACAGGCCGATGTGACGCTCATTATTTACTTTGGGACCTTTTTGAGTTTTACTTACCATGTCTTCAGTAGATTTACATCCAACGGAACTTCCACGTCTCTGGCACAACGCCATACGCTAACGCTAACCATACGCAAAAGGACTTCAGTTCTGACTTCAATCCATCATAAGTTCCTCGAAAATTGCACTTTCACTTCACAAGAATATTCAACGCCTCGAAATGACAAGGTACGTTGTCAAACTAGGAGATGAAAACTAATACTGGTAAACTGTTTAAATTCGTACAGAGATGAAAAATGAGATTAGGAATAAAAGGGATGAGCAAGAATACAAGCAGAGCAATAAATATGGAAATAAAGAGGTAAATAAAACGGCAACTGAGTAAATAAATGGTAGTCTAACATATGCAAACACATAAAAGGCACATTAGGTAAGGAGTTAAATAAGCAATAATGAAAATTATTAGCAAGGAGTAAGAAACCAAGCAAGTACACAAGCGAATATGTAGTTGTCATTATGAAAATAATTAGTTAGGTAACCAAAAAACGAAAAGTGTCATCAAGTAAGCAAGTAAATAAATGATCGATAAAGTAAACATGCAACGAAATAAACAGATGTGTAACTCAATAATTCGAAAGGAACGGAAAGGAGTGGAAAGAACTGTTGCAATGTCAGTTAATTAACGTCAATTAAGAGAATGAAAAAATACACTAAAGAAATTAGTCAAATTAACAATTTAACCGTAACAGCTAAACTTAAGTAATTACGTAAGCAAACAATCAACTACGCAGCTAAGTATATAGGAAAGTAAATTTATTCGCATAGTATTCAAAGAACCTTTAGCTACTATTCAGCATATTCAGCAAATGTACAAGCATATGTATATTTAACTGAACTATAAGACGTCTGCATAGGAATCAAGCAGTGGATCGAAACCGATGTAGAAATCCTTGAAATGCAATGGGATACACGAGCGCGCACAACATTTTGCAAGAGAAGTAAGTACAAAACCACGTCTGCTGTCAAAGCTGAACGGGACCTGTCTCAGAGCTTTTTTATTAACAATGGAATCTACAACGAAATGCTTTCGCCCTGGCTGCGAAACAGTGCTGGCCCAGAGGAACGGCGCAGTGCAAGATGTCCAAAAGGAGGCACTGACACCTGACAGTTTGTGTCTGCAACACAGCTGCGAAAGCTGGCCTCTTCCTTAATGCAAGAAAGTCAAAAGTTATGAGGAACCGATCCAGCACAGCCGAGATACAAGCCTGAAGTGAAGCGCTTCAGGAGGTTGACCAACTTAAGTACTTCGGCGCATCATCCCCAGCGATGGCACAATCTAGAGTCACATAGAAGGATCGCCCTAGCTACGAGTGCTTTTGAAAACCTGTTCAATATTTTGGCTGAGAATGGTGCTACTCTTCCCAAGAAAGTATGCCTGTGCCATGCTTCTATCATGGCAGTGTTGTTGCATGGCACTGAGAAGGCTGTTATAACGTAACAGCAAGAACGACGGTTGAACAGCTTACAAAGGCGGTGGCTTCAACCACAATGAGGGTTTAATGGCAAGATCACGTAATGAGTGATTCCATGCACCGGGAACCTCAGTGGATGTGGAGAATAACAAAAGAAGATTGGCCCTCTTAGACGAACTGGTTGAGAATACACTATTTACTCACTCCAACCTATGCGATTTTTGTATGGTAGCCGAATCATGTCAGACAGCTAACATACAACGAACAAGATGGCAGCAAATCGGGTTTTTGGGAGGAACGTTCCTTTCTGCGATGCAGTAACCGGTGCCTTAGTACAAAAACTTTGTAAAGCTGTTGATATTGTGGACATCCTAAACCAAATATGTTCTGCTTACGGAAACGGCTGAAAGGCTGAAGGTGATGATCTAAATAAACAGACAATGATAATTAAAGTTTCGAAATGACCTATAAGATAAAAGAGTATCAGGTCAAGAGGTTTGTTATCAGCAGCCGAACAAACAACTGCCAAGGACGAACTGTCACAATGCATTCGCACTGTTTAAAGTGCCTGAAAATTCATCCAAACGATCACCATGACTAGTGCAACTTGTATTAGAAAATGCGCAGAGGGTTCTTCCACCGAGTCTCATTACTACCATCCAATATGATGGTTCATCTCGTCGTTTGTGGGAACATGAAGCTGTTAATTATGAAAGTCATATGAGCGGTATTTGCTTGTCTGTAAAGAAAATATTTTCGCGTTCTACAACATCCTATTTTACTTATTTCATGCATCGGCTAGATCGACTGAGGTATATACTGCTGACCGGACATCGAACAGCCCAGCTATAATACGTGAACAGCAGCGACTTAGTGTTTCGGTTTTGACGAACAGTCTGTATGCGTTCCAATGCCAAAACTACGGCTAACGATAAGCAGCGAGGTAAGTACTGAAAATTAATCACTTTACATCAACAAAATAATTTACAGCAACAACGTTACAGGCTGTGGTACCTTTGTCCGGACGTCGTATGATATATACTCTATGAAAATACCGAAAGCGAACCCGTTTTCCTGAATGAATAAATTTTTCCTTTTCCACCTTATCCTTCAGTACTCACGAAATACTGATGAGCAGTGTCAGCTCTTCCTACGTTAAACGAACTGAAGAACACATCCATTTAAGTGCATTCGACAGCACGCTTCACATAAATCAGGTTTTCGTTCCTCAGTATGAAGACAACTTTCGACGAGAACAAGAGTATGACCTACACCATCGCTTAACAGATATGCGTACTAACATATATGCAGAATTTTTACATCACTTATAACGACGTATAGATTGAAAAACCGTACATAACAAATGGTAATTAGTCTTAATTAGAAAGTCCAGGTACCGAGAGTTCATAATAGACTGCAGAGCTGTACACCGTTACAAAAAGAAGTACATGACCCCGTACTATGGACCGACGCAGCGCGAAGTGCGGCGCACAACCACAGTGAAAACTACACAAGACTCGTCATACAAAACCGGTTCCCGTTTGAACTGTCGGCGAAATTAGAATACTCATAAACATAAATTTAACATATTGATTTACGTGTCTTCGAGGTGTCGAACATTTGGATTAGATCGCTTCTAACGAATTATCATTAGCGAAGTCTCATATGATCAGCTTCACATGCTTAAAGTTCAATTACTGAGCAAAGCACAACGTGAAATGAGTTTGCCGTGATAAAACATTCACACCCTTCTGCAGTCATGAAGTTTTCACCATCTGCTTCGCGTCCACGATGTTCACGAACGGTTCAGATATCGCTATTCGGCGAATGCTTGACATGTTAAAGTGGTAGGCGTTATTCTGCCAGACAATCTAAAAGATGCACAATGACAACTGGTCCGGAAAGAGGGTTTCGTTAGGAGCCAGCCTTTGCGTACAAAACGGTGTTCAGCAGAATCGATTCGTAAAACAAGCAATAACCCATCCACGCAGATACAATGACGAACACTTAGTCGATGCCGTAAGGCAACTTAGTCGATCTCTTCAGCTTTACGATCTATAAGTGTAACAACATCGTCCAATCCATTGTATTTGATGATCTGTATCGATTGCTTCGCTATTTTCGAAAATTCTGTCTCGTTATCACGTTGGCACCAGCCTTACCGGTGAAGATCCCAGTGAAGATCCCGGTGTATCTACCAACGCTGAGCACAACATTGTTCCCGACCAGGTGTCTGCTGTAACACACTACGTTTTTGTAAGTCAGACTACGAATTTCGGCTTTCTGCGTTTTCCAATGTATACTAAAAAGTGCGTAAGAATCGATGTAGTAATCTCTCCTAGTCTTCTCTTCATACGAAACATTGGGCACCTCCTCACTAGAACCTGACATCACTTCCAAGCCTTTTCCCCAAGCATCGCCGACTTCAGTCATGTTTCCAAACCCAGCCAATGCTAGGGCAAAGAATCTACAGCGTACACCTCTTGATCGTACACATCGTGCATACCACAATAAATAAATTAATATACTACTGACACAGCGGAGTACACTATACTAATGAACATTATGTACACAGCATATAGGATGTACTGTAAATTTTATATATAATATACCGTTACATCAGTGTGTTATATATAAAATTTACAGTTCACACTGCTGGGCACAGGGTGCACCATCAAACAATTCCGCATAGTGAAAAACAATTGTACATAACACTGCCAACGATATGTTCAATAATTCATTTATTTTCTGTCAACAATTCCTTTCAGATGGTTTTGCGACCAGCTGCTTAAGTAATCTATCTATCCAGTGGCTTCGAACCATCGCCATACCGACAAGTTCAATCACCAGAATTCCGTAAGGCGA